TACTTGCGCTTATCCGGATTGTTCAAACCGACTTAAAACTAAAAGATTACGTTCTCTCGTGCGAACTCATTCGGGAGTGGTGACTTTCCACGTATTCCCAACTTCTGAGCCTGCTCGCCTGAAGTTATGGTTGATTGCTCTTCGGCTGGATATCAACACACCCATTAACGTAAACTATGCCAGAGCGCGTACACACCTCACGCACTGGAAGCCGTGCGCGCGCCCAAAGACAGTTGGACATATATTAGAGGTAAAAAATTATATAAATACTGTTCGGTTTCTGGCACAAACCGATCGTTTTGTCTTAGGACATCAATGTGTCGTCACGAGCCACAGGGTTTAATTTGGATTTGTCTGTGCATGTTTTTTTTACTCTCATAGATTTTGTTACCATTGCCATGCATTATACGACTGATAGACTGCAACGGTTAAAGTTAAAAATCATCATATGTGTTCTACTGAAGAAACAAAGTCACCTACATCTTGGATGCCCTGGGGGTAAGCAGATAAACATCAAATTTTCAGTTTTGGGTGAACTATCCCTTTAAGCTTCATGCTTATAGTTCTTTACTTGAGTACCTTTATTAAATGAGCATGTACATGCTTAAATATATATTTATTAATTGAGCAGACTGTTTTGCAGAAAATATCTGTTCCTCAATATTTCCTGTGACACATTAGCATTTACACTACAAATGTGGTCACATGATTTTTGACTACTTCAAAATGTGGTCTGAGCAATCATCAGATTCCAAAACATTTTTTTTTTGGACAGATTTTATACTTGTAGGCTATTCAATGCTCACCACAGAGGTAGATGTTAATATCAGATGTAACCAGGGTCTTTGTTGCATTCTGAGATGTTAAAGTGTGTCCTCATTCCCCATTCACTGGAGACAGGCTAAAAATGTCCTAGATCCGTCAGCCTTTGTGTTTCAGACAGAAGCCTGCTAACTCATGAGGCTAATATTTTAGTAAGTGTGAAGGCTAGGAATGAAGACTTGATAATACCGGTGTGATGTAATGCACTTCTTTTGTCTTGGCCAGGAACTGAGGCCTTGATCACAAAAGCTCTGATTACAGACACGCTCAACCTGTCTTTTTATATACAGCACCAGCATTTATCAGTTGCATAATGTGCCAGATCAGAACGTGAACAGCCAATGCAGGTTATAAAATGAGGATGTTGGACCTTTCCTTTTTACCATGGGAAAAACACTTGTTTCCTTTAACTAAATCATGAAAAGACCTTTGGGAAATCTGAGTTTGGGTACTTTATAGCGGGCAGTTATTTTCTCTCATATGCCTATGGCATGTTGCTGTATTATATTGACAGCTTTATCCACATAATCATGGCAAATGTGCATGTCTGTCTGCCTGTATATGAAATATGGTTTGATTTAGCGGCTCATATTTTTAACTGCTCCACGCTTGGTCCCAAGGCACATAAGGCACTTCCAAACAGCTCTCTCATTCCAGCATGTTTTTGATTTTATGTTGAATAAAAAATACACATAAATGGTATTATGACATTTATGCAGCACAACAGAAACAACCATGTGCAACAATGTGAACTTAATCAGCGCAATACACAAAGTCGAGCAGATTTCTTGACTTTCTCATGTTATTGAGGATCCCATCAGGCCATTCTCAGCTGTCATTAATGTTCATGGCGCTGCCAAAGACGTCCTCCAGAAAGAGCGAGTAGTTGATGGTTTTAACTGCAGGGTCTGCAGCGTCTCCTCTCCAGTCTGCATCAAACTGAAAACAACAGCACGACAGGGTTTGAGAAACAGTTCACAGAGGTTCCTGGAGCACATATGTTTAACTGGCACTCATTTCATGTCTCTGCAAATTAAGGTGAACCGAGACAAAGATTTATCAGGCCGGATTGACTTTAGCACATGGTAAATGTCTTGTACTTGCTATTTAAAATATGACAAATGTTTAACGACTTTGCGTGGTTCAGTAAATCAGACACGTAATCAACTTTTTAAAAGAATTGCTGCAGATAAGATTTTTTATTGCTCAATATGTTAAGGTGACCAGATTTCTCAAATTAAACTGGGAACATTTTTAGTTCAACAGTCTATATATCACTGAAATATCCAATGCTATTATCTATGAATTCAAAAAGGGGGACAGTTTTGTGTGATTTGAACATGGTAAATGTAGAACTGATGAGTTATTGTATATCATACTCTCATGTACTACTATAAATTAGTGTAGTCATCAACACACATTATGAACTGTAAAAACTGTTCAGAGTAAAGGTCCTTGCACACTGAGTAAGAAATTTTTGTATGCGTTTTTTTTTGTATTTATCATCCAAACCTTGCACAGTCAGATGCGTCAAAACACCTCTCAAAATGCTTGCTATGGACGTGAGAAATGCAGAAAATCGAACCCGATCCAATTTTTTTTATGACGGACGAAAGTTTCAGAGGCAGTGTGTAAACGTTATTGACACATCGTGAGGTTGTATTTATTTTTTTAACGACTCAGTGTGCAAGGTTCGTAACTTGCTTTCCTAAAACTAATGTTTGTCGAAAGACAATGTTAACTAAACCTAAAATGATTAAAAATATTTTTGTTAATTAAATAGACGCGCAAAAAAAACTTAAACTGAAGTACAAAAATGACTAAAAACGTAAACAAAAATAAATTAAAGCTAAATATAAATATTTTTTAAAAATCAAAACTGAATTTAAAATGACAAAGACACAACAAAATTAATACAATTATAAATAAAACTGAAAATACAAAGCTGAAGCTAATTCAAAATATGAATAAATACTATAATATAAATAAATCTAAAATAACACTGGATATCAGTGCATATTGGCTACCAAAGGAAAAAAAAACGTCCCTGGAAATCCAAGGCATCTGGCTATCCTGTCACATATGTAACATATTGCAAGTATACATACTTTTTATGCACAGAGCTTCATGTGGTTTGAAACATGGCTCTAGTCACTAAACTAGACCGATTAGACAGACCGATCGATCCTTACAATTTCAGTGTGGTCTTGTGGTCTTATTCTTCTTTCATACTGAGAAGTATTTGATAAATGCAGGGCAATTCACCATTGTAATGGCTGCTAGATTTGGTTCAGTGAGGGCCACAGGAAATGGCTGGAAACTGGCAAATTTAGCGGTCAATAAACACAGTGGAATGAGCTATGAGAAATGAGTGAACAAAGCAAAAAACACAGAATCACACAGCCTGGCTTGCTTCTTATAGATCCATCTTGGAATCGCTATGTATGCTCCTACAATCCTTGATTACATAGAAAAGCCAGCAGTGAGAAACTATACAGACAAATCGACCGCTGGCTCCCCCTGCTGGTTTGTTAAGACCCAGCACAACTGGAAGGCTTCTCACTGCGAGTCAGTAAGCAGATGGTTCTGCTTAGGCTCCAAGGAGACATGCTAAATTACTGCGCTGAAATAAAAGCTCCACTTCAGAGTAGTTGTTGAGTGGGTTTTTCCCAAGTCTGATTTACTTGAGATGAGGCTTGGAGGTGCTCAAAGCTTGTGGGGCCCAAAGGTTACCAGGGCCTGGACCTAGGGCTGTGCGCATCGCGTTCAAAATCGCAGGCGATTCATTGTCAGTGAACTACGACTCTATGTAGTAAATGCCGCTCCATCTGAATTCACGTGCTGGAGATTTACTACTAATCACAGAACTGGCTTTACTAACGAAATGTGCATGAAAATCGCATTCGATTATTTGCACAGCCTTACCTGGACCCTGACACAAACACTCTCATGTACATGTGGCCACTTTAGCAAAAAACAAAGAATGATGTCTCCAAATATGTGTTTGATGATAGAACAAATGGACTGTTTTTTTGATATTCATCCAGACTGCTTTTAAACTCACCTTCACAGTGACATCTGGAAGCACAGCAGGGGCAGGGTTTTCTCTCCAGTTGATATTGGATAGGAAAGCGTGATAGTCAATCTTCTCAGACTCGTCTTGAAACCTGGATGCGAACATGAGAGATGCAGAAAATAAGGATGTGTTGTGGTGAAATGTTTCTTGAATAATAAATGGGAGTTTTGCTCTGTTGACCCTACTTTTCGAGGAGGGCTCGTTGTAGGTCATCAGACAGGGGCAGTCGGAAGGCTTTAAAGATGATCTGTGCCTCTTTAGAAGAGAGGTGTCCAGATCTACAGCAGCACCATTTGAGTAGACAGAAATAAGACAGAAAGAAGAATGAGTAACTCACGTCAACATATTCTGTAATATATATATATATATATATATATATATATATACAGTGGTGGCCAAAATTATTATTATTTATTATTATTATTATATTATTATTAGTAGTAGTAGTAACACTAGTATTTTCACTAGTTAAAAAATGGTTTTAAGTCACTTATTTCTATCTTTTGCTGTAGTGTGTCAGTAGGAAGTATCAGTTTGCATTTCCAAACATTAATTTTGCTATTAATTGTAACAATCCAGTAAGATTTTTATTTGCACAAGGAGTCTGACAACAGCCAGTGCTCCACACAGAGATCTGATCTCATCATCATCCAGTCTGTCTGGAATGACATGAAGAAACAGAACAAACTGAGACAGACTCAATCCAGAAGAACTGTGGCAACGTCTCCAAGATGCTTCAAGAAACCTACCTTCAAAGCTACAGTACTGTTAAAAGTTTTAGGCACTTGTGTAAAAATGCTGTCAAATGAGGATGCTGTCAAAAAATGTCAAAAATAGATTTTCTTTATCAATTAACTTCTATTAATTACATTAAATCAACATAAATCAGCATACATAATCTGTAGAATTCATTACGCTTTTGAATTAAGTTTTTTTTTCGAGTCTCCTCTTCAAAAATGTTCAAAGTATTTATTTGAATTACAATTAACAATTTGCAATGCTACAAATGGCTTCACTGTCACTTTTAAACAATGTAATGCATCCTTGCTGAATAAAACAATGCATTTCTTTATAAAGTATTGACCCCAAACATTTGAATGGTGCATATTATAAAATACATTAGAAAATAATTTATCAAAAAATTATTATCATATTCAATTTTCTTATGGAGTTCATGACGGACAGCTGCAGACATTCCTGGTTCATTATTTTCAGAACATCGTAAAATAACTACACTTTCCACAGGGCCACATAAACAGGACAAGCACGTTGACCTGTCGGCATTCTTCCTCATCTATTTCCCCTGCCTGCAACATGCCACAGGTCTTCATCTGTTTCCAATGCTTCACTTGAACCGCTGGAACTAATCGCACCCCCTCAATCTAAAGCAGATTGATGGTTATTCTACCTCACCGTGATTGTTAGTGGTCCACATCAGTGCCTGCGTGACTCTGAATAGCTGAGATAGGGTGTCCTTACGGAACAACGGGGAATGGTTTTGTGGTTCTGTATGAATGCATGTTTATGTCAATGTTGATTTGTTATTATATACATTTGGTCATGTGCATATACTGCGACAGGGTGCTTACAAGTAACAGATTGAAGAAAACAGGAGGAAATATATATTAGGACAAAGTAAACATTAATTTATGAGAACAATTATGTTTAAATTCAGTGGGGTCCAAATGTCTAAGACCATGTCCAAAAAAATGTTTTTCTAAATTTAATTAAAATCTGGAAACATGTAAACCAAAACAATATTATGAAGTAAAATGTATAGTAAATAGTAGCAAAATGTTTGATATTATTTTGTTTCCCTTCCTTAGAAGAGGAACTGAATGCACAAAAAATATGCCATTTTGAAACTAAACATAAGCAGCAAATTCTAAATGTGAAATTTGTAACACTACTCACAAATAAATCATAAGAATAAATATTTTAGGTATTTGTATATACTGACAGCCCTATGTGCACACTTAATTAAATACAAGAAAATCTACTTTAAAAAGTTAGATTTGAGACAGAAAGTGAACCCTGCTTGAGTGCTACCTGTCCCGGTCCTCATGTGCGAAGGCTCGAATCATATCTGTGAAGTTCTCAAAGTTGTTCTTCTTTAGCTGATCCTGAGCCACAGCAAGCATGAGGCCCAAGTTCACCTCTGGTTGTTCCCGCGATGAATAATTGCGACCCAGCGTTATGATCTCGTGTTCAAACAACTGAACGTCCATTTCAGCCAACAGGGTCCTGTGAAGGACACAGCCATTACAGAATGCTTGGGCACTGTCAAACTAAACAGTGTACTGGGTACGCATATTTTGAAGCTTAGCAGCTGGTCCTTAGTTGGTCATGAGCTGGTTTAAGCTGGCCCTGAGCTGGTCCTGAGTAGGAGCTTGGTGCTTAGGAACAGTTTAGGACCAGCACATGACCAGCTTAAACCAGCTCATGACCAATTAAGGACCAGCTTAAACCAGCTGCCGTGCATCAAAACATATCTAACCACCAGAATATGCTGTTTTTTTTCCAACAGGGCTTTTACTGCTTTTATTTGACAATATGTGTTTAATGACACAACCATGATGTGTATGTTAGGAATTAGAATTTAGTACAGTTTGTTTCTTATACTGTGTTGTAACCAGCCACCAAAAGAATGACAGGACATTTTGCCATTCAGTTCTATTTCTGTAGGTAATCAAACCCACAATAAAATCTCAAATTCAGTGAGTCTAAGCCAAAATTGCACTCAAAATAAATTATATGGCAGGGTAGAACAAGGTGTTATGCACCTTTTTATTTGTGTATTTTTGGCTGCCTTCTTACCTAAATGACTCATATGGAATGAAGCCAGTGCTGCTTGGGTCACTCATGGTGAAGAACTGTTTTACTTTCTTCTGCTCTTCCTCACTGATGGATTTTACCTTGCTAATAATGGTGCCAATATTGGCCTTGGGGAACTAAGTAATTGAGAAACATAAGTGAAGGGATTTCAATGAAGTTTCTGTGTAAAACAATTTTGATAAAAACACAAGAGACTTTATGATTTTTGTGTGTTACCTCATCTGCATGCTGCTCCATGTAGTCGAATGTAAATTCATCAGCATCCAGCAGCTGGAAGGGCTGATTGTTCAGATCCAGCCGAGCTCCCACATACAAATCCTGAGCTGTGAAATACTTGGACATCTCACTCTTAAATAGCTCCTGTCCTGGCTTCTTCACTTGACCTCTCTTTAAAAACTTACCCCCAATCACACCTTAAACACAAGAACAATGGAGTAACATTAGGTATAATCTTAATTATGTTTTTATCTGATCTGAATGTAAAGGAACAGGACGGCAGTACCTGAGTTTCTCTGAGGAGGTTCAAAGACTGCAATGGTATCATCACTGAGGTAGACATATATGATAAAAACACGTTCCTTGTCGATAGGACTGTCTGTAAGCATTTTCGCCACAAATCTCAACACATTGCTTACCAGACCGTGCCTAAAGTTGAGAAAAAAGTTCAATTTATCATCTGGCTGAGAAATGTTTTGTTTCAATAGACAGGAATTAATAGAATAAAAATGTTATCATTGATTTGACATTTTAAAATCAAACTAATCATGTAGACGCAACATGTTTTTGCCTACATTTTGAAATTTGTTTGAGCTAAATAGTTATTCTCATTGTAAAAAGTATTTTTTTATCCTATACCATTTGAACTGAAGAAAACATCCAAACAATGCACCAGAGTTTGATGATTTTATTTTTTTAAATGGTTATTTTGAAGGGATAGTTCACCCAAACCTAAAAATTCTGTCATTGTTTGCTTACTCTCAAGATGTTCCCAACCTGTATGACTTTCCTTCTTCTTCAGAATACAAATTTGTCCACAAATCAGCATAATAGAATTTCTATTAAAAAAAAAACTTGTCCCTTTTAGACTTGCACTCTATTTATTACACAATTAACAAAAGCAAATAAGGCCTCTAACACTAGCTTGCTCTATTCTTTTTCTTTTCTATCTGTTTTCTTTTTATTTATTATATAATAATAATAATTTAAAAAAAAAAACCTTGCTACGTGTACTGCGTTAAGCTAACTGAGACTTATTATAGCACTTGCATATCATTGCTCTTTTGTTGATTTTGATTGCTTCCATTGTCCTCATTTGTAAGTCGCTTTGGGTAAAAGCGTCTGCTAAATGACTAAATGTAAATGTAAATGTCTGAAAGATCACGTGACACTGCAGACAAGTAATGGCTGCTGAAAATTCTGACCTTGAGACAGCCTCATAGACTGAACAGACCAAACTGCATGTGACACACTTGTGCCAAGTTTTCTTATATGCTCACTATACTAATGGACTCCCTAACTTTGCTAGAAAGTTTGAAGATCTGTTCTCTTTCCAGCTTACAGTGACTATTCTTTAAATATTTAGTTCACCAGGCTGACAAGATCAGGATGGGTCTTGGTTCCTTACTTACATTCAAGAAGTTTCCTTGCTTATTCAATGTGTGTTTAGTCCTGTCACTTAGCTGCTTTGAGGTTATTACTATCTATAAAATAACCCTTCGCTTAGAAGAGAATTCTTTTTCCTTCAAACTCTAAGCCTGCCAATGTCTGACATTGTATTGTCCAAAGCAAATTGAGCGAGTAATTTGCAGTGTGATACTGGTTCTGGGATTATATTTGGAAGCAAAGCACTGTGAAAACAATGTATAATAATAAACTGACTTGAAAAAGTGTGTTTTACATCGGAAGTATGGTGAGATTGCGTTTGAGCTTCTGATTATTTATAAAGGACATGTGTTCATCCATGTGCTGTACTGCAAAGAGCTGCACTTAACTGATGAAGGAAGACTTTAGTAGGACAGACAAGGGTCTAATGTCTTCTGTCAAAATGATCTAATATCAATGGTTTTAAATGAAAGGCAAGCATATACTCTGGATGTCCTAAGGGAGATTAGCTCCGCTGGTTACCTGTCTTTTTCCATAAGCTTCTTGAAATCCTTCTGTGGAGGTTTAGGCAGCAAACCCTGACAGGAGCACAGCGAATCTTCCTCAGATCCAAATCCAGTGTAGGGTGGCACCTGTCTGGCTAGTTTAGGAGGGAGCGAGGCCTGGTATGAGACAGGTGTGAAGTCCTCTGTGAAGCCACACAGGAAGAAAACATCAAAAACACACACACATTTAAGCAGACATATGCATGGAAAACCGGAAGTGAGGCCAGACAGGTTGCGTTTACTCATATGAATTCAATCCACAACCTCTTAACCTCTGAGAAATGGACAAGTGCTTCATCAGAGCGTGTGTCAACCCGGCTCCATTAGGCTCATGTGTAACTAATGCTATGATCTCTTCGGCCTGCATAACGCCGCAGCAGACAGATGCACGCGCACCCGTATTGTGTTACCACTGGCATGGAGCTCGTGTGCTTCTTATGTCCGGGCTTTTGAAGATAAAGAGGCCAGGCTGGTCATTGCTCATATCTGCTGTCCAAAAACTGAGTCACCTTGAGGTGTCAATCATTTCTGCTCCTTTAGTCATCTGTCGTTCAATGCGTGTTATTCCGACAGTTATTCACAGAGATGAAAGCACACTAGGGAGCATTAAGCTCTCATAGAGACGTGGGATTTACGACAGGAAGACTTTGAAAATAATGAACAGCTTGTCAGACCACACAGATGCGATGTGTATAGAGAATGAAGGGTTGGGGTATGTAAATGTTCTTTTCAGTTTACTACAAAAAGCATTAGAGCATAAGACTGCACATGCTGTAGAGAGTTTGTTTGTAGCAATCAAAATAAATACAAGTTCATGACATAGTTCTAAAGTCACAGGTGAAACTCAATACTGACATCATGTGGTCATTAAGAGAGGTGCCAAACCCCTCCCTCCCAATTTGTTTTTAAAACAGCATAATAATAAAAATAATCTATTCTCCTGTTCTATTTTATACTATAAAAAATATGAATAATTTAATAATAGTAAAAATACATAATAATATTAAAAAATTGTTATTTACATACTCTCTTTTGCCTGGAATTAAATTGTTTTAATTCATACAAAGCTATTTAACCACAAATCATGAATTAGGACATATTAATCAAATATATTGTTATCACCTATTAAATCATAAATACTACTGCCTCCCCTTGAGTCATGATGTAACTCACCAATACCATATTTAGAGCGATAATACTCTTTAGTGAAGTTGTCGCAGTCACATATTAACATCCTACGACCCCACACATTAATGACGCCTCCAACGGTCAGGTCACAGTCTTTGTAGAATTGTTCTTCTACTGCTCCAGTCTGTAAAATGTTAAGAAGACATTGACATACTAGTCCATTAAAACTGAAACAATTGGCTACTGAACTAATTAAAAATGGTATTTATAACTATAAACAATTGTTATGAAATTCCTAAGAGGGCATTGATAATGGACCATTTTTTAGCCAGTACTTACCTTGAGGCTATCCAAAATGTAGCGTCCTCCTTGTCCGACTGGTCCGAATACATTGAGGACTGTGCGGTCTGTTATTTCTCCAGGCTGATGTTTGGGAATAGGAGCATGCTGTTTGACACAATCAAGAGCAAAATAATTGAAATTTTTCATAACTTGAAGGACAAGTGAAATTTGCTAATGGGTTCATAATTAGCTTTTCACTGGGGGACTCCCGCAAAAGCTTTTTAGATGACATTTAGTGAGAGGCAACAGAATGAGTGACAAGACTACATGACAACAGAAAAAAAACCCCTGAATAAATCCTTCTTCCTTCATAATGAATTTAGACTGCAAAACAAGCAGGGAGGAAACTGAAAAGTGCTTTAGGGAAGTTGGATGTTTCTTTCAGCCCTGTCAGTCTGGATAAAAGCTTGGCATGGAGGATGGAGAAATTTGTCCAAGCAAAAGAGTAGAGAGGAACTGATAACCACTAAACTGGATTAAAGAGTAACCATTTAATTTCAGATTTTTCAAACACATTCATTGAAGTCATCACCTCTGCATTTATTTGATCAAAATACAGTAAAAACAAAACGATTTCATATTTGAATGTATTTTAAAATGTGATAGCAAAGCTGAATTTAGTGCTCAAGAAACATTTCTTCTTATTATCAAGATCTGTTAATAAATTATGGATATGTAAATGTAATTTTTTTTGCAGTGCTCTTTTTTACAGACCTTGGGAAGCTTTCCCCTGTGCAGAAATTTAGGGACAGCATCTCGACCAGAGTTTGAAAGGACAACTTCGTAAATTTCCATTGTGTCATCTGCCAGGAAGTAATGCAAGATCAGCTCTCTGGGGTCTCCAAACATGCTCTCGGTATCATCCCAGTAGCAGTAGAAGCGTAGGACTTTGCGGTCATGTTCCAAAAACTGCTTCAGGGCATCTATTCTTTCATACGGCCGCAGTGGCTTCATGTTCTCCTCCATCTGTGAGAGGGAAAGAAACTGTATAATATTGAAGTATTGATATTGCTTTATAGATACATGGTGCTTTCTTACCTCTTGTCGATGTGTGGTATAGGGATCTGCTGGCGTGGAAGCAGGGGGGTTTAGGTGCACTCCCATTTTTATCAAGAAGTTGCGTGTGAAGGGGTCACAGTCCGTAATCATAAAGGTTCTGTTATAGAACACTATTTCCTGATTGACGTTAAAATGGTGCACATTGTAGAAGCAATCATCTTTAGGAGCTGGGAGAGGAATGCGGTGCCTCCGAATCAGGGTTCCTACATAGGAGGAGAACAGATAGATTTAAACAGGATGTTTTTACTGGTTTGTCATTAATCAGGATGCTATACATTTGATTCTGATGGTTTACCCTGTGGGATCCCACTGTTTTTGAACTCTGGCTCCACTACTTGTATGGTGTCATCCTCCAGATAGAAGTAAATCTTGCACTTTCGCACTCTATATTTTTCTTCCCTCCTCTGAGGTACAGCTTCTTGGAAATAAGCATCAAAACACAGGACCTTCAGGTAAGAAAATAGCATGGAAAATTAATATACTTTGCACAGCACTAGGTAAAATGGCTATATTATGTTCCCTCATAATAATGACAAACCTGTTTGTCAAAAGCAACCCATGCCGGAGCATCGCTGCCCTCTCCCTTTGGAAAAAGTGAATACTTGGGTCTTGCGCTCTGCCCCAAGAGAAGTTCTCCTCCAATGCCTGGCTTCTCTGACCCAACCATCATGGCTACTCCATTTGAATAATCAAAATGCTGAGATTTGTGAAATTTGTCTTTTCCAAGCTGGAAAATAATGAATAAAATGACACTGTAAACTGTTTTCATCATTTTATGACAGAATTTTTGTTTCTATCAATTTAACTTGTTCTGTCATCTGTACTTCATTTTATGTGTTTTTGTTTTTCTTCGTCAGTAATTAATGGTTGAAAACATACAATGAACTTCCCTGCAGGTTGTGAATTTGGCACCACTTTCAACGTTTTAGGCAGCAATGATTACATAAATGAACTCGCTAACTAACTAAATAGAATAACGTTAGTAGATACTACACACACACGCACGCACTTTAAATATTTTCAGTTTTTTAAGTAAATATTAGCAAACCGCTCTACTAACATAGCTAGCAATACTTAAACAGCCCTTATTCACATAAAGTTACTTTCCCTCAACACAGACAGAACATTTCTATAGATAATTTTGCGGTATCACTTACATTTCTATTGACTGAATTTCCAGGCAACATTGGTAACGCCATTATTAGTAGCAAGCGATGTAGGATTTTCTCAGTGCAGGACGACCCCAGACTGCTGAGAACTGGTTGCCAAGATAACAACTTGTTTGCAAATATTATTGCTAGGCAACGAAACGCAGATCACGTGACAGTACATTCATTGGTCTTCAGTTCAAATACGATTTCGCTTGAAAGACATAAATCATATTTCAGGTATATCAATAATACGTTGTTTTGGCCAGTTTTGAATATCTGTTTCATAACGCGTAACATGTATTGACAGACAGACAGACACAGATAGGGCGGACAGAAATAATAAATTATTTTGAGATAATATAAATTACTTATAAACATACCGTAGGACCTAAGTTACTTCTGAATCTCTTCAGCCAAATTGTTGTGTTACTTTAAACTCCAGATTAACTGGGTGGCCAAATTCTTATAAAAGCACTTGCCCTGTAATATATATAATAATAAAAAAAACTGCATTTAAAGAAGTCCACGCTTTTGTCTACCATAAATTATATAAAGATGTTTTTAAACCTTCAAGTTTTTTTTTTCCTTGTAAAAAACAAAACAACTTTATTAGACAGACCATAAACAACCAGAAAGACATATTTTTTTATTATTTCCACAAACATGTTATTATTGGTGGGTGATTCTGTATATTTTTTTAAAATCGATCACAAAATAAAACACACAAAAAACAATACATGCTTCTAAAGTAAATATTATGGAAATTATACAACTAATTAAAATAATGTATTGTCAAAAAGTACAATAAGAAACACTTTAGCTGTATGTGTAACAGACCTCATGTTGATGTCTTATTAAGAGTATGCAAAATAAAATAAAAAACATTAAAAAAATAACATTAAACCACACCAACAATTTTCTATAAATTTATTGGCACAATATCTCTCTCTTCATCAGGATGATTAAGCTATGTACAGTTAAGAACAGGCATTGTAGAGGAATATATTTAGAACAACAGTTCAGCAAATGTCCATTGCACTGCTTCAGACAATACATCAAGTTTCAGTGTTGTATTGCTGTGATACCGACATAAGGGACAATATTAATGTGCAAACTACTTATATCAGTGGCAATACAGTAGATCCAGGTTTCATTTAGGATGCCAGGCCCAGCAGAAAACCGCCAACAAATCCACCCGAGATAACAATATTCCTCTTCACAAATTCTGTCGACTGTAAGAAAAATACACCATTTACAGAATGTAGGATAAGTAACAACTTTCTAAAGTGTTACATGCCCACACTAAATAATAATACAAAATGCTTGAGTCATGATGTAACTCACCAATACCATATTTAGAGCGATAATACTCTTTAGTGAAGTTGTCGCAGTCACATATTAACATCCTACGACCCCACACATTAATGACGCCTCCAACGGTCAGGTCACAGTCTTTGTAGAATTGTTCTTCTACTGCTCCAGTCTGTAAAATGTTAAGAAGACATTGACATACTAGTCCATTAAAACTGAAACAATTGGCTACTGAACTAATTAAAAATGGTATTTATAACTATAAACAATTGTTATGAAATTCCTAAGAGGGCATTGATAATGGACCATTTTTTAGCCAGTACTTACCTTGAGGCTATCCAAAATGTAGCGTCCTCCTTGTCCGACTGGTCCGAATACATTGAGGACTGTGCGGTCTGTTATTTCTCCAGGCTGATGTTTGGGAATAGGAGCATGCTGTTTGACACAATCAAGAGCAAAATAATTGAAATTTTTCATAACTTGAAGGACAAGTGAAATTTGCTAATGGGTTCATAATTAGCTTTTCACTGGGGGACTCCCGCAAAAGCTTTTTAGATGACATTTAGTGAGAGGCAACAGAATGAGTGACAAGACTACATGACAACAGAAAAAAAACCCCTGAATAAATCCTTCTTCCTTCATAATGAATTTAGACTGCAAAACAAGCAGGGAGGAAACTGAAAAGTGCTTTAGGGAAGTTGGATGTTTCTTTCAGCCCTGTCAGTCTGGATAAAAGCTTGGCATGGAGGATGGAGAAATTTGTCCAAGCAAAAGAGTAGAGAGGAACTGATAACCACTAAACTGGATTAAAGAGTAACCATTTAATTTCAGATTTTTCAAACACATTCATTGAAGTCATCACCTCTGCATTTATTTGATCAAAATACAGTAAAAACAAAACGATTTCATATTTGAATGTATTTTAAAATGTGATAGCAAAGCTGAATTTAGTGCTCAAGAAACATTTCTTCTTATTATCAAGATCTGTTAATAAATTATGGATATGTAAATGTAATTTTTTTTGCAGTGCTCTTTTTTACAGACCTTGGGAAGCTTTCCCCTGTGCAGAAATTTAGGGACAGCATCTCGACCAGAGTTTGAAAGGACAACTTCGTAAATTTCCATTGTGTCATCTGCCAGGAAGTAATGCAAGATCAGCTCTCTGGGGTCTCCAAACATGCTCTCGGTATCATCCCAGTAGCAGTAGAAGCGTAGGACTTTGCGGTCATGTTCCAAAAACTGCTTCAGGGCATCTATTCTTTCATACGGCCGCAGTGGCTTCATGTTCTCCTCCATCTGTGAGAGGGAAAGAAACTGTATAATATTGAAGTATTGATATTGCTTTATAGATACATGGTGCTTTCTTACCTCTTGTCGATGTGTGGTATAGGGATCTGCTGGCGTGGAAGCAGGGGGGTTTAGGTGCACTCCCATTTTTATCAAGAAGTTGCGTGTGAAGGGGTCACAGTCCGTAATCATAAAGGTTCTGTTATAGAACACTATTTCCTGATTGACGTTAAAATGGTGCACATTGTAGAAGCAATCATCTTTAGGAGCTGGGAGAGGAATGCGGTGCCTCCGAATCAGGGTTCCTACATAGGAGGAGAACAGATAGATTTAAACAGGATGTTTTTACTGGTTTGTCATTAATCAGGATGCTATACATTTGATTCTGATGGTTTACCCTGTGGGATCCCACTGTTTTTGAACTCTGGCTCCACTACTTGTATGGTGTCATCCTCCAGATAGAAGTAAATCTTGCACTTTCGCACTCTATATTTTTCTTCCCTCCTCTGAGGTACAGCTTCTTGGAAATAAGCATCAAAACACAGGACCTTCAGGTAAGAAAATAGCATGGAAAATTAATATACTTTGCACAGCACTAGGTAAAATGGCTATATTATGTTCCCTCATAATAATGACAAACCTGTTTGTCAAAAGCAACCCATGCCGGAGCATCGCTGCCCTCTCCCTTTGGAAAAAGTGAATACTTGGGTCTTGCGCTCTGCCCCAAGAGAAGTTCTCCTCCAATGCCTGGCTTCTCTGACCCAACCATCATGGCTACTCCATTTGAATAATCAAAATGCTGAGATTTGTGAAATTTGTCTTTTCCAAGCTGGAAAATAATGAATAAAATGACACTGTAAACTGTTTTCATCATTTTATGACAGAATTTTTGTTTCTATCAATTTAACTTGTTCTGTCATCTGTACTTCATTTTATGTGTTTTTGTTTTTCTTCGTCAGTAATTAATGGTTGAAAACATACAATGAACTTCCCTGCAGGTTGTGAATTTGGCACCACTTTCAACGTTTTAGGCAGCAATGATTACATAAATGAACTCGCTAACTAACTAAATAGAATAACGTTAGTAGATACTACACACACACGCACGCACTTTAAATATTTTCAGTTTTTTAAGTAAATATTAGCAAACCGCTCTACTAACATAGCTAGCAATACTTAAACAGCCCTTATTCACATAAAGTTACTTTCCCTCAACACAGACAGAACATTTCTATAGATAATTTTGCGGTATCACTTACATTTCTATTGACTGAATTTCCAGGCAACATTGGTAACGCCATTATTAGTAGCAAGCGATGTAGGATTTTCTCAGTGCAGGACGACCCCAGACTGCTGAGAACTGGTTGCCAAGATAACAACTTGTTTGCAAATATTATTGCTAGGCAACGAAACGCAGATCACGTGACAGTACATTCATTGGTCTTCAGTTCAAATACGATTTCGCTTGAAAGACATAAATCATATTTCAGGTATATCAATAATACGTTGTTTTGGCCAGTTTTGAATATCTGTTTCATAACGCGTAACATGTATTGACAGACAGACAGACACAGATAGGGCGGACAGAAATAATAAATTATTTTGAGATAATATAAATTACTTATAAACATACCGTAGGACCTAAGTTACTTCTGAATCTCTTCAGCCAAATTGTTGTGTTACTTTAAACTCCAGATTAACTGGGTGGCCAAATTCTTATAAAACTGTAATATATATAATATATATAATAATAAAAAAAACTGCATTTAAAGAAGTCCACGCTTTTGTCTACCATAAAGATGTTTTTGATGTTTTTAAACCTTCAAGTTTTTTTTTTCCTTGTAAAAAACAAAACAACTTTATTAGACAGACCATAAACAACCAGAAAGACATATTTTTTTATTATTTCCACAAACATGTTATTATTGGTGGGTGATTCTGTATATTTTTTTAAAATCGATCACAAAATAAAACACACAAAAAACAATACATGCTTCTAAAGTAAATATTATGGAAATTATACAACTAATTAAAATAATGTATTGTCAAAAAGTACAATAAGAAACACTTTAGCTGTATATGTAACAGACCTCATGTTGATGTCTTATTAAGAGTATGCAAAATAAATAAAAAAACATTAAAAAAATAACATTAAACCACACCAACAATTTTCTATAAATTTATTGGCACAATATCTCTCTCTTCATCAGGATGATTAAGCTATGTACAGTTAAGAACAGGCATTGTAGAGGAATATATTTAGAACAACAGTTCAGCAAATGTCCATTGCACTGCTTCAGACAATACATCAAGTTTCAGTGTTGTATTGCTGTGATACCGACATAAGGGACAATATTAATGTGCAAACTACTTATATCAGTGGCAATACAGTAGATCCAGGTTTCATTTAGGATGCCAGGCCCAGCAGAAAACCGCCAACAAATCCACCCGAGATAACAATATTCCTCTTCACAAATTCTGTCGACTGTAAGAAAAATACACCATTTACAGAATGTAGGATAAGTAACAACTTTCTAAAGTGTTACATGCCCACACTAAATAATAATACAAAATGATTTATTGAACTGTGGGAGCTCAAAATAGCTAGTAGACTGGTATATGAAGTTATGACGGATGCATGAAAGAATACCCACTTCTTCTATAAAGGAATTGAGCTCAGGGGCTGCTTTGTTTGCCTTTTTCTTCAAATGCTTTTTTGCTTTATTGACATCCTTTTCCACTTTCCTCCAGTCAACCTGCACATAGCCACTGTGGTTGGCAATCTGAAATTAGAAAATTAAGATTTTTTTTCCCACTTAAGATGACAAAGAAGCATAATAAACCCTTAAAGGAATAGTTCACTCAAAAATGAAAATTTGCTGAAAATTTACTCACCCTCAGGCCATCCAATGACTTTGAGAAACAATCACTGGAACAGATTTTGAGAAATTTAGCATTACATCACTTGCTTACCAGTGGATTCTCTGCAGTGAATGGGTGCCGTCAGAATGAAAAAGCAATATTATGGATCGAGGCCTTGTATTTTAGCTGGTTAAAAACGAATTAATGATTAATTTGTTTATTACAAATGCACAGATTTTCAATTCATAAGATGTTAATGATAAACTGAAGTTGTCTTTTATTGTTATTATTGTGATGTTTTTATCAGCTGTTTGAACTATCACTCTGACGGCACCCAACAGCAGAGGATCCACTGGTGAGCAATGATGTAATGCTAAATTTCACATCTACATGAAACACATCTACATGAATGGCCTGAGAGCGAGTAAACATTTAGCAAATTTTCATTTTTGAGTATTGGCTATGACATATGATGCAAGCATTTTAATAATCCATACTTGTAGCAAAAGAAATCCCCCTCCAACAGCAGTAGCCACAATTTTTCCAACTCTCTGAAAAAGATAACCAGCACACCTGGAGGACAAAGGACAAAGCAATTTTGCATTTATTAGTATGCATTATTTCATACATGTAGAATGGAATACTGAAGTTGGTGAATCAAATATTACAGCACATACAAAATAGCATAGGTTTCTTAATCTATATTAACACCAACCATCCTGTCACTCCACCCATCATGATCTGTGAAGCCACAGAGTACTTTTCTGCAATGGGTCCTGTACTGTTCCCAAAAACACGACTCCACCATTGATGCCTCCTGGCGTAATCTGTGATGTTAACCACCTCATATAATTCATCTTCACTCTCTGCATCTACATCTGAAAACAAAAGTAACTGTTATACATTAATTGTATATTTACAGCATTCAAAATCGCAAAGCATGGACACAAGTGAAAATACACCCTTATATAATTTATTAGGATGTTTTGCATTGGTAAACAATTGGTATACATATTATTCGTGTATTTCCACCCAAGAACCAACTGCAGGTCCACAACCTGTTTTACATTCTTTAATATTTTAGATTAGCCCCTTTATGATCTGATTTAAAAACAAAGGAAGTTTAAAGGGGTCATATGATGCGATTTCAATTTTTCCTTTCTCTTTGGAGTGTTACAAGCTCTTGGTGCATAAAGAAGATCTGTAAAGTTGCAAAGACTAAAGTCTCAAATCCAAAGAGATATTCTTTATAAAAGTTAAGAGTCAGCCACGCCTACCTAAAACGGCTCGTTCTAACACGCCCCCACATATCTACGTCACTATGTGGGAAGATTTGCATAACACCGCCCAAATGTTCACGCAAAGAAAGAAGGCGTAACTTTTATTCTCGCTGTAGTATTGTTGTTGCCGCTGCCATGTCGTGAAGACGCTGTGTTTGCCTTCCAAAAGAGGACGATATCGCTTCGTCATGCCTGGAGCTGATCCGTGCTGGCTGCTGAGGAAATAC